AATGAACACGAAAGCTTGGGGTTTGCAACAGCAGCAGAATTTACAGAATTACGGCACCTCTAGAATTATGGAACCCACAGTTTCCTGCATGTGTCTGTTTCGCAGACTTCTGGTTGTCTGTGGTTTTCTTAAAATATCTTTGGAAGGGAGTCCTAGGATTCATCAAACCAGTTCACTGTTCTTTAAGTTATAGCCTAACGAAGTCTTCCAGAATTTCTACAGGAGCTTCCCAATCCTGTACATGTTTTAATTTTCTGCCACACACGTTTGATTTAGATCCAAGATTGCGCAGAGTTACTTAGCTCTTACAACATGAGGGACATTTTCTCATGTTACTTCACGTAATTTTCTTAACCAGTGTGGTGGTTGTACTATTCACATTACACACGAAGGCCAACAGAAGCTCAGAAAGTGGACTGCCCAAAGTCTCAGGGCAAGTTGGTAGCCAGGCTGGGATTGAACTCAAATCTTAGAACTTGGTGCCCAGTGCTATTTTTATATGGCACTAAGACTGCCTCTGGAAAAGTAAAAAGATCTGACTGACAGTCCTGGTTTCCCCCCGTGAAGCCTCTGAGGCCCCTGGAGGGTCAGCTTCTATAAAGTGTTCAATGCATGGATAGTTGGGCTTTCAGCAGCTCTAATTAGGTGACTGGCTTTATGTCGATGCCACCGTATAAGTGGGAGAGGAATTCATGATAACGCTGCTTTTAACCACCTAAAACTTCTTGTTTCCTTGGATTATTGCTCCTCTACTCTTAATAATTTTGTCATGAATGGAATGAAGTTGTATTTTTAAAAGTTATATTATCCAAAAATAATTCTGTGTTAATAATTGAAAAGAAGCTGAGAAGGCAAAAATTAAGAAATTAAAAAAAGAGTAATAATAAAATATTATGTTAGAATTATCCAAGAATAGACTCCTGGGACTTTGTAGATAAAGAAATTTCAAAATACTTGGATGGTCCTATTAATTCTCTGATCAGTTGAATATAAACTCTAGCATATTCTAATTGATTCCACTCTGCTTCGGCATCCCCAGTGACAGGTAACCCACAGCTGCCATTGCCAAGACGGTCCATTTTTTCTGTCGGTAATTCTCTTCCTATCCCCAATCTAAAATTCAAGATACAGTAATGGATTGGCTTTTTACATTATACATCATGTGATAATCTGAGTGATTACTATTAGGAAATACGAATGAAAATATGCATATATGGGGTCCACCCAGTGGCATGGCAGTTAAGTTCCTATGCTCTGCCTGGCTGGCCCGGGGTTCACCAGTTAGGATCACAGGCATGTGACCTACCCACAGCTTATCGAGCCATGCTGTGGCAGGCATCCCATAGAAAAAAAAGCAGAGGAAGATGGGAGTAGATGTTAGCTCAGGGCTAATCTTCCTCAAAAAAAAAAAAAAAAGCATATATACATTGGCCACTAATAATCAATTTTCAACCAAAATGGTTTATTTATTTAAGAAATGGCTTCATTTAAGTCGTATGGGGTAATTCAAATGGAAGTTTGTTGCACCTGGTCAAGTGATAAATTATGTTTCTGTTCACTTTTTTGTTCCTAAGAATAATGATAACTCGACTGTAGGCTCCTGAAAGGCAGAGACAGATTGGGTTTTATACTTTATTGGAAATAACCATCGAATGAAGAGCAGAACTGATTATGAAGTAGGTACTCAGTAAATGCTTGTTCAGTTTACTGATTTGCTTACGCATGTTCTTGGTGTTGACAATCAAATAAACTATTAGATTAAAAATGGAAGTGAAGATATTAGTAAATCCACCAATTCATTTCTTTAGCCATAAATATCTATGTGCAAAGGATCTATGTTAGTAGTGGTTAACCTGAGGTAAAGAGGGGGTTCCTGTAACAGCCTAAAATCTTATTCAAAAATTTTTTGTATGTTCATACCTTCACCTTCCTGAGAGGATCCATAGCTTTCTTCAGCTTCCAGGAAACCTATAACTTCATACACTATTAAGAACCCATTGGTAATTAATATATTTACCTACACCCCAAATGTCAGCACTGATAACTAAGAAAACCTGTTTACTTTTGCTTGGAATAAACTATAACCTTTTTTCTCTGACTTTTGATTTTCCTAAAGATGCTTGATCTCCAGTCAGAACTAAGTTGCCCTGAGTAATATCCAGAATAAAGCAACGTAGAAAAGCACGAATACAAACAGGATAACTTGACTTCTCCTTGTTCCTGTGCCACTCTGTACTGAGTTGGTACTGTGTGTCCAGGTGCAGGTCAAGGTGTTTTTTTATCATTTAAAACCCTAATGGACCAAATGATCTGGGATCTAATTATGGGGGAAATTACCTGCATCCTTATGCGTGCTCACAGCCACTAAAATGAACAGCAGCGCTTCAGCTAACGGTCCCTGCCTTCTCGCTCCAAAGAATTTGGGGCACTCTGCTCCCAGCATGAGGAGCTGACTTTGGAATTCATGGCACATCTCACAACCTAAATTTACTTCAGAGGTAGAAAGCTTTTGTTTTCTATTTAGACTGACAGAATAGATTAGTGAGTTGTGGTCAAATCAGTTTAAAGTTTCTCTACACACCCTACCCTTGCCCAATCCTGTGTTTTTAAGGAAGTTAATGTTTGACTAGTTTATTGCATTGCTGCAAATTGAAAGAAGTAGCTATGTTAAGGAGCACTCCCTTTTCAGGAAAAAAATAGGACCTTTATAACTATGCTATTGATTCTCAGGCCAACCGATAATAACACATGAAAATGAGTCTCTCGGTTAGTACATTTTATTATTATCATATAGTACTTAAGTAACCTGAGGAGCTGTGGTTTACAGCATTTTAATTCTAGCTGTTCCTCCAAAGTTTTATCTTTAAGTGGGTCAGAAACACTATATATCTTAGATTGTTATTCATTCCTTCTATTGCTTATCTTTTAAATTAACATATACTAAGATTGCTATAAGCCTACATTCTTATTTTCAAATGTTACCTTCTTATAAATGTTTTTATTTTTACAAAGACAAGACTGCCCCCTTTGGTGGTCATCAAAGTACGGCTTTGTTACATTCTTTCATCCCACCAAGTGAGACAAGAACTTGGGAAGCTGGGCAAAACCTAAAGGCAACTTTCTAAGGAAAACAAAGCTTTAAAATTCTTGTGGAAGATTTTGACCCATACCCATTTAAAGGTGGGCTGTAAAGAGTCCATTTCAGGTATCAGTGTTTTTCTGCTCCTTTTGCAAGTTCTAGAGTTTCCTTTCAAGTAAAAATTTTGAATATCTAAGTTTTCAACATAACACAAGTCACATGAATTCCATACCACAACAAATGGCTTCTAAGAAGACTGTAAATTGAGTGAGAGAAGAGAAGTCATTTAAAGGGACCCCCACTAGAGAACACAGCAGCACCCAAATAAATCCATTTTAATTTTCACTTTATTTCAGTTATATTTCAAAGCTGTGATATCATGAGTGGAAAGAGAAGCAGCTCATAGAAGAGCCTGACTTCAAAGAAACTGAAATTTAGCATGGAATGTAAAATTGAGGACTTTTGCTTCTAAGAGGGTGATTGTAGAAATACGGAAGTTGAAGGCTTGGGGCTACGGCAGAATTATTAGTCTAGGGTGATTCTGCAAGTCTTGGTGAGCGTCCATGAAGCAATGCTCTTTACAAGAGAAAAGCTCCTACCTGACTATTAAAAACGTGCATTTCTCTTAAAACTCTTTTCCTTTCCTTCTGCTCCAGAAGGGACATTATAAACTGCTAATGAACACTGACTTCGACCTTTTGAGAGGTTAGATTTCCCCAGGACTGAAATAAAGCATGCTTTAGTCTTCTCACACTCAGAGCATCCCATTGGGTTCCCTGTAGAGTGCTTTTTGCTTGCACCCTTTGGTAAAGTGCACAGTGGGTCAGTATTCTCTGCAGTCTGTCTTTGCACTGGGGCTCTGGCCGCCAGAGGGGAAAACAGCCACCCACAGGGAACCGGCATAAGTTAAAATCAAGCAAGCCTAGTGGGATGGTAATGACTTTCCCAGCAACCAAGTCTTTCCTTCAGGATGTGTGAAGCTAGAAAACAATGTCATTCATTCAACATTTATGGAGAACACACAATGTACACGGGACTGTGCTAAGTACTGGAGGGCATGGAAAAGTATGCAAAACACAATCCCTGCCCAGAGGATTCCCACTGGGAAGGGCATTTCAAGTATCACCCAGACCTTACGACCCTTCAAGAAATTCTTGGGCGAATAAAATTGCAGTCAGAATTTAAAAGAAGCATGGAAAAGAATACCGCTGGGACAATCTGTCTTTTAGGAGGGAGGGCATGTAAATGTGCTTTAAAAATTTATTTCTAAGGTATACAACGTGGCTCGGATGAATGAGGGAGCAGAGAGTTGAACCCGCCAAGAGAGGCGCCAGGCTGGCCGCACTGGCCCCTTCCTGGAGGAGCCTGACTTCAAAGAGGCACTGCGCGGATGCCTGCACAGTTAGCTGAATCCGAACAAAGAGGAGGCTGGCACTTTCACCTGGGAAGTGGATTAACTTTGAGGAAAAGTGGCCTCGGAGGAGGAAAAAGGCCACGTTCCACCTGGAGTGAGAAGCGGCCGCCCTGCCCCCGACGGTGCCAGCTGACCTCATCCGCGACTGCCCTCACGCTCGCTCCCCCTCCCCGCATCCCGTACCCCGGCGAGGCGGTGGGCCGCGCTCGGCGAGGTTCCACCGCCCACTCCACGCCCGCAGCCCTTGCACACGCCGGCTCCAGCCGGTAGTCGGCCACGTGCGCCCGGGTCCTCCGCTCGTTCCCTCAGCAGGCCGGGCGCCTCCAAGGTTGCAGTAGCAACCGTGGGGTCCCGATTTCTGTCCCCTCCTGCACAGCTGAGAAGTCCGGGCAGCGGCGGCGTTGGCGGGAGCGAGCTGTTCGGCCCCTCCCTAGAGGAGGCAGCGCGACCGTGGGCTGCGGGCGCCGCCTCTGCTGCATCCGTGGCTGCGCGCTCCGCTGGGCTCAGCCCCGCTTGGATCTGGAGCCCGCGCGCCGCGCTGCCTTCTCTTCCTCGGCCGCCGCCCAGCCGGCAGCTCCCCCAGCCAAGACGCGCGCGTTCTAGCCTCCTTCCCCGGGTTTACGGATTTCCGGGGGGCGAAGAATTTTGCCTCGGTCCCTACGAGCATCTCTCGACCTCTCTCCCCCTCCCCTCGCGACTCCCCCACCTCGTGGGCGCGCGCGCGCACACTCACACACACTCACACTCGCAGGCGCGCGTGCGCACGCCCGCGCGCCCCGAGCCGCGGAGTCTCCAGCGCCGCTCAGCAGATCCCACTCTCTCGGGCGCCGCTACTCACACAGGCTTCCAGCCGCCACGGGGCGTCCTCTGTCTGCGGCAGCGGCGGCAGAGGCAGCGGAGGGAACGGCAGCTGCAGCCCGGCCCCGTCTGGCAGCTCCGCGCCCGGGACGGAGTCCGGGAAGCGGAGAAGGAGGACGCCGAGGCAAGGAGGAGCCGCGCCGCGCCCGGCGCCCGGCTCCACGCGGCGGGCTGCCTCTGCTCCCCGCACGGCGGCCCCAGGTAAGCACCTCCGCGGCCCGCAGCATCCCTGGGGCGTTGGGGCTTGGAGCCGGGGTTTCTCGGTCCCGCCCTCGCTGAGGCACCGGGACAGAGGCTCGCAGGGGAGTGGGCTCGGGGGGGAGGGGAATGGAGGTAGAGGTGAGGCTGGCAGGGAGGGGAGCGTGGGAGCGTGGGGGCTTCGGCTCAGCCCCCCGCGCCCTTCCCTGCTCTCCCCGAGCTCCAGCCCTGTCACTTTTACGAGCCCAGGGGTGCCGTGCGCCCCAGACAGCTGTTCTGCGCTCTCCCGGCCTCCGCCAGCCAGGGTTGGCTCCCGGCTCCGCGCCCGCCGCGCGCCTCCCACCTCCCCTACACCTTGGACAGCGCACCCCGCCGCCCCCTGCACAGCACTCGGGACCGCGTCCTGCTCGCGCCTCCCTCCCGCTGCCCTCTTCTTTCCAGTTTGTCACCCCCCCCCACCCCCCGCCCTGCATCCCATGTCGTCCCTGTCCTGGCTGACTCTGCTCTGGTGCGGGCTGGAAACTTTACTCCCCGCCTCGTCGGTGCTAGGTACTATTGTTGTTATTTGTGACTGTCCCCTTACAAGGGGAACTCAGACACCTTGGATGGGTCTTCCTCGGCGGGAGCATGTCCTGTCCTGCCGAGCCCGGGGCAAAAGAGGCCCTGGGCAGCTGGACTTGGCGGCTGCCAGGGTGCAGAGCCCGCGCCTGGGGAACTGGACGCCTGCCGCCTCCCGGCCTCTCCAGACTCCACACGTGCGCGCCTCCCACGAACGCGGCCCCTCCCCGGCCACCCAACGTCCTCCCCCTGCACGGACACGGACACCCCATAGGTTGGACACCCGGTGCTCGCGGGTCCTGATTGGTTGAACACATAACCCCGCCTCCTTTCCGGAGGGGGGTGGTTCTGAGTGTTGTGGTTGTCATCCCGCGGCGCGCACATGGGGGAAGCGGGGTCCACAGGTGGGGAAGCCCTGCTTGGTAGGATCCCTGCGTCCAGCTGTGTGTGGCTACTCACCCATTCTCCTTCCTCCACATACACTCCTGCTTTTCTCCTTTTCTGTCTCTTTCTCAATCTTTTACTGCTATAAAATTTAAAAAACTGGCTTGTAACTCTTCTTTTATTAATATTATATTTGTTTGGTGATAGCAGTTTTTAAAGCAGATCTAGAAGAATGAGGGAAACAAGTCGTATGGGGAGGTTCGTGGCAAACTGGGTTGCAGATTTGAGTCCAGTAGTTTAGAGAAAGTAATGGGTGCCTAAGGGATCTGAAGAAGGTGGAGAAAGTGTGAAGGAAATTGGTTCTTGCAGGAGAGACACAGGTGAGCGAGCTTGGGAAGCTGAGGGAGAAGGAAGTGGGTCATTTGTGGGGTGAGATGTGAAGGAGGACCCCGGATGGGCTCTCCCGAGAGGTGGGTGCGTTCCGCTGAAGACGGCTCAGTCCGGAGAAGGGGTAATTTTGGCTAGTGTTTAGTTCATTATTAACACACACTGCTTCTGTTTTGTTAGCGTTGCCCTTTTAATAAGAGACTCTATAGTAATAACGTGAATCCATGTGATAGATTTTGCTTATTCCACATTCTTGTGATATATAGATTTGCAAGTGGTAATGGATTTCAAAAAGTGAATTTCAAAGTCTCCCATAGAGGGAGGGACTAAATAGTTAAGTTAAAGTGCTTTTGAAATATTGTGAAGGAAGAGGGATGAGCATTGCATAAAATCCAAAGATTGTTCTGGCATTATTTAGGGCCTTTGCAGAAATATATATGTATGCGTAAATGATACTGATTTCTCTTCATTACAAAGCATGATTGCCTCTAGCATTTTCAAGCTTTAATTCCTTCAGGCTGTTTTGATGTTGTGTCTGTACATCTAAGAATATTGTAATTCTTGTCTTTAGAAGCCTTGTCAGTGCAAAACAAACAGCAACTGATGGAAGTTAATGTTGACAACTTTATACAGAGTACACTGTGTGTTATTTTATTTGTAAGCTAGTGAAATATGCAACAGTAACATAGCATGACTGCTATTCCCCAGGGACCCATATCAAAACAAAGTGGGGAATCACATGAGGCTATTCCAGGGAGAACAATTCAAGTATTTTAAAAATCAGTATATTTTAAGATTCTTTGGTGTAGACAGCAACAGAATTTTGCCGTTTGAATTATTATCTCTGTACACAAGTGGTAGCACATGATATTAAGTAAAACAGCGTATTAAATGTTAGATGATTCGAAAGTTGACAGTAAAGGATTTCCATTTGTTATGATGTTTATGTGACAGAATTGCTTTTCTGACTGGAGGACTTTGTATTCAAGGGACAGAATTTGATACATCTGGCAAATTGGAAATTATTGCTACTGTTGAAAAAGTAATTCTTACTAGATTTTTATATCTCTAGGTCATGCCTTGATTTTCCCTCAGGGATTTAGATTCTAGCTTTTGGCCTTTGAAATTTAGATGGATTTGGAGGTAGGTAGGAGAATGTATTATCACATATACACATGTGCATATATGCAAAATATATGTGTGTATATCAGCACACAGTTATCTATTTATACACATAATTTTGGGGTACTTTCAGTGTATTTATTTATATATGTTATTATCATCCTGAGAATTTTTTCTCATTTCTTCTTGTCCAAAAGGTGACCCTGTTTTAAACTGTAGAAAGCATTATCACCAGTAGAATTGGCCAATAGATCATGGAAACAGACAATAGTATTTTGTTGCTTGGCAACCACCTACTGTGAATGAAAAACAAAGCAGTGACAGCTGCTTCCACATCCTGATGCTCACACTGTAGCTCACACATTGGAACCCTCCAAATGAGACAGATCTGAGTTTTATTTGAATAAGGTGAAGCTCTTTCTTTTATGGGATGTTTTTAAAAAGGATATTTAAAAATTTTATTCTAATAAGAATTATGTTGATATTGTAGGGTGAAATGAAGCATCTAATTTCAATTGCCCTCTTAAATCTAGTATACACTGAAAAATGCAAGATTGGGAGGGCTGTTTGGACCCTTCTCATTCTTCCCCTTAAAATCATTAAACACTGTAAGCACATTTTCTGCTGCCGTCAGGTGCTCTCAGGATTTTACGAAAACTTGAGTTCTTTATGATACCTAAATAGATGGCTAGATTTTGCTGCTAGGGGGAAATTAGAGGTTGATGCTCTGGTCTAACCCTTTAATTTTAAGGAACACCAAGGCACAGTGAGATGCTGTGACTCAATGCTGGGACGGAGCCATCTCCAGAGTCACACTTGAAAATTTTCTCCCTCATTTCCTCCCCTGAATTATTCTTTCTTTGTTCTTTATTTACATAAAATTTGTAACAAAGATTTTTGTTCTACTAAGGATACTTAGAAAATACAGTAATATTTGGGAGTAAAATTCAGTGTTGACACCAGGCTAGATTATGGTTTTCGATGCGTTGTATAGCGTGCATTCTGCCTTCAGTTTCTGAAAGTCCTATGGCTCCCACCTGTTTTACCAAACTACGGAAGCCCAGCTCCTTGTTTTGGTAATTGTTTACATCTTTGGACAATCTTTCATGATCTGTTATTCTCTGTGTGAATCTTGAACTGGGATGGGATTGAAGATTGTGTTGGTTAGCTTGTATACCTGCAAGCGTTTAAACGTTATAGCTAATTAATCACTCGTTGAGGGCTTCTGTCTGCAACGTGATAGACAAATTGTTGGTGTAGTGATCCGGGCTCTTTAAAGTATGTGGGACAGACTGTGTCGCTGCCTAGTGTTGCTTTCAGTTTTTTATCAAAGCTGTCTTGTCCGGGGTGTTACCTGAAGCCTGTTCATGGAGGACAAGTCATCCGTGAGAGATGGTAATACTGCAGATTGTTTCTTACTTCTGAAATGGTAATAAATGGGTTATTGGGTGGCAAACCTGGATTGCATGTACATTATTAAGCATTTCTTCTAAACTTAGGAAGTGTATTGCATGCATGATGCGTTTTGAAGTTTCTTATGCAATTTTATTTTATTACTTATTTATTTATTTACTTTTTTAAGGTAATTGTTTTTTTACAGAAGGTCCGTCCTAAGCTAACATCTGTTGCCAATCTTCCTCCTTTTTCTCCCTTTTCCCCCCAAAAGCCCCAGTCCATAGTTGTGTATAGTTCTGTATTTTTCTAGTTCTTCTATGTGTGCCACCACCACGACACGGCTACTGACAGATGAGTGGCATGGTTCCACACCCGGGAACTGAACCCCGGGCCTCCAAAGCAGAGTATGCTGGACTTTAACCACTAGGCCATCAGGGCTGACTCTTCCTATGCTATTTTAAAGAATCTGTATTCTGTTATTTATTATTTATGATGAAGGTAGACATTTCCCTTTTATACAACACCTTAAGTAGAAAAACTTGGAGTAGACAAGTTTGGAGAAACAATATAGTGACAATATTAAGTACCATTGAAGAGCCATTTTCACGAGAAAAGCGTGCACTTTAACAGATTTGTATGGAGGAATAAATTGATTTACAGTTTATTTAACCTAGTTTTAGAAGCCTGCTATTAACTTGTTCTGCCTAGAAGGATTTTCAAGCAGAATGATAATTTGGCAGATTTCAAGTGAACTTCCCTGATTTTTTAAAACCATTTTCTACAGTCTGGTTATAGTTTGTCCAGGACATACACTTGTTTTGGACCCTCTAGGGTTAATCTGAATTTTAAGGTTATTATTTTTTAAAATTTCAGAACCATCTCCCTTTGCATAATGTGATGTTAAATATTCTGTTTCATACATTTAATTTAATCCACTGGAATCTTGAAATTTCAATAACTTCCCTCTTATCTTCATGTATGAGATAATGTGTGTGTATGTGCAAACACATACACAATACTTATATTTTTTGTTATTGTTTTCATCCTTAGGATACAACACTAAAGGACCAGATTTGTGTTTTTTTTCGTTTAGTAGAGAAGACTTAAACAAGAGATATTTACATTTTCAATTTCCTTATGTCAGCTTCTGCTTTTAT